GCCACACTCCTCCGTCCCCCGCGCCGGTTTACGCGAGGACCCAGCGTGACCCGGCCTCTTGCCTTCCCAGGACCCGGAGCGGGGCCCCGAGCCCCCCTCCCCCATCTCGTTGTCCATCTGCGGACCTTCCTTCTTCCGTCCCTCCCTTCTCGCCCTTCCTGTGTTAGTGTCCGTTATCCAAAAGATGCCCCCTGTACTTAAAGCCAGGGACCCCACAAGCAGGCGACTTTAGCAGTCCAGCCACCCACCCCCACCCTCAGCGGGGTTCCCCGCCCCAGGGGAGCCAGGTGGACAGGCAGGCAGATTCAGGAACCCCCCCCCGCTCCCCCTGGAGCACAGAGACACACACATCACCGCACTGGCCACAGCCACGCGTGACCAGGAACACACACAGTAGTGCAAACCATGAAGGAGGCCTCATTCACGCACGGACCCAGCCCACGGTGGGAAGCGCAGTGAAGGGCGGAGGGAGAGGAGGCCTGGGGGGGACAGCAGGACTGAGGCTGTGGGGTCCCCGCGGAGAACCCGGCCCGGAGCCTCCACTCCAGGCCAAGTCCGGTGCTTGGGCGGGTGCCGTCGGTGCCAGCCCTGTCTGCTCCGAGGTTTGGGCACGGAGAAGCTCTAGGGCTGCGCTGGGGACGCGGTGTCCTGGGCTGTGGAGGAGGCTCGGGGTTTCTAGAGCGGACACAGTGAATGGTGTGCGGTTGGGTTGGGCCGAGGCCAGCAGGACAAGCACCTGCCTGACCTGCCGTCCCCCAGAGCCGCAGGCAGACGCCACAGTGAAGGCCTTAAGCTCCTAATCGTCCCAAATCAGCGGGAGGGGATTTAGAAGGTGGGCAGCTGTCTGCTCCTTTGCCCTTGGTGGGGGCGCTGGGCACAGTGCCCAGATCTTTATACCTTTTAATTCGTTTATCCTACGGACAATTATGTGGGTGCCACTTTCCAGGCGAGGGCGCAGAAGGGGAGCCACTTGTCCAAAGTCCCAGAACAGCGACAGAGTTTAACGAGACTGACCGACTCTCCGCTGTGCTCTGGGGGGCAGACAGAGTGGTGACGGCCCCTCCGGGCAGCGGGGTGCCCAACCCCTGGCACCTGAGCCCCGCGTCATCAAGGATCGGGGTCCTCAGGCCATTATGGCCCCCGCCCCACCTCCCCCAAGCCTTTTCCAGTTCTAACAAAAGGAGGTGTAGGGGGGCAGAGGGCCGCTGGCCTGGGCCCCGCTGGCGGACTCAGCGGGTCTGGGGTCGTCTGTTGCTGCCCCGCCCCCTCCTCGGGGCCCAGGTCCAGGGCGGCGTGTGGCTGCTGAGCCCCGGCCTCTGCGACGCGCTCCTGGCCCTGGACGTCATGCTGTGCACCGCGTCCATCTTCAACCTGTGCGCCATCAGCGTGGAC